CCTTCCACTAGAGCAGGTTGCTCCAAGCCCTGTCCAGCTTGAACACTTCCAATAGACCGACAAGAAGCTGAGATGCTGAAGTCTCAGAAGAGAGTAGGGAGATAAACCTGAACAAGTATCAGTATGGTCAGCAAGGCTTAATAAATAAATACATTTCAAACCAGATACAGCTCTTGGGCTTTTCAGGTAACAATCTTTGGGTCTGGAGATAATGTTTGCCTTGCATTGGCCCCAGAGATGTGCCAGTGACCCCAGAGAGCTGCAACTGCTGACCTGGCAGGCACAGCCAATGTAAGGCTCAAAGCAATGAAGTGAGAGCTCTGCAATTCTGCTGCAGCCTGTGATGTTTCAGAGCAGTCAGCCAGGGTGTGTTAGCGAGGTTCTGTCAGCTGTAATGTGTGCTTTGTGTTGCTTCACTCCCAAAGTCCACTCCCTGCAACAGCAGTAGAAACTGTGTAGTTTTTGGTTGCCTCCGTTAGACCTGCATGGACGGTGCACCTCAGAAGTGCAGCGTGGAAAAGTTTCTATGCACTTACAAAGATGTTTCCTTTAATCTTGGTAAAATTACTCTTAAGACATCAGTTCCAATGGTTCTTGTCATAGAACAGCCCCGTGTTCTCTGGCAAACCTTGCAGACTATGAAACTCCTATGGTATAAACTCCAGACGTAGAAAACGCACCTGGTTTCATCCTATAGATGTGGGAAGCTGAGGTGTCACTGTATTCACTTGTCTTCACTTGACTCTCCTTTTGACCATCAAATCTTCAAGTGCTTTCAGTGAAAAGCTTTATCTGGCTTGGAGAAACACAGCCAGTGTGGCAGAGCGTAACATCTTGGGCAACCTGATTTAGTTGAAGATGTCCCTGCTCATTTGCACGGGGAGTGGAATTAGATGACCCTTCCAACCCAGACTCTTCTGTGATTCTATGATCTTATGAGAGCAAATAGAGAAATTGGAATAAAAAAGACTTACTCTCCTTCTCAGGTGGTCAAGGGCTGGAGAACATTCAGCCCATGGGCAGCCTCTGTCTGTACTGGCTGTGTGATTGTCTCTCAAGGGGCATGCAGAAAAGATCTGAAGGGAATCAAAGCTGAGTCTCTGTTGGTGTTATAAACTACAGCTCAAGTCTCAAAGCCTTTGTTAGTCTGAGCAAAATCCAGAGGCCTTTCTCCTACCTCTATCAGCTGATGTCTTCTGCATGTGTATGAAGGAGTTTCCCATGGAGAAGAACATTTAGGTAACCTTTTGGTTTTGCCAAGGACATGCTGCAGGAGCTGGGGGGGGAAAGAACCTGTTGTTTTGAATTTAGTTGGGTTTTCTTTTATCTGAAGGGACCGTTAACTTTTGTTTGTCATCTGAATGTGCAGGAAACAAGGGATGAGGAAGAGCTCCTCAGTGCTATTTAGATGCTGTTTAGATGGTTTTCAGCATGTCATGATGCTGGGTGATTTACATTTGAAATGAAAACTCATCTTGTAATTATCAATGTTTCACTCACAAAGAGAAATGATTGTTCTCCCAGTTGTCTGGGAACAGAGCTGACTCCTGATTGCAGGGAGTGAAAGGGGACTCAAAATAGGTATCTACCAGAAGCTCTTTTATTTCCTCTTTTCTTAAATAGTACGTATCTGTTTGCTGTGTAGATTTAATTGGATACAGCCCCCTCCCTCTGCCCCAAGGTGCTTGGCATCTGGAACTTGCTGGTAGTAGAGTCAAAGTTGAGTCCTTAAATTGTGAAGAGCTTTCTCCATCTTGCCCCTTCTCAAGTTGGAAGACGTTTTGTATGCTGGGGGAATTAACTATAAGGTTTTTCCTTTCAAGACAGATATATGTGTATGTGCCCAGATGCTTTTTCTCTCTGCTCTGCAAACCCTCTCTGAGTCTTCTTAAACTTCTTCAGCCTGAGTCATTGGTGGGATGCTTTGCTCTTTCAAGAGGATGTTGTCCTCAGTCTGTGTGGCCGTGCCTGTTGTTCCCTTAGCATAGATGAGACAGTAACTTTCCATTTGGAATATGCCAATAGCAGAAGTGTCTCTTGGGTTCAGGGATTTGACCTCTTAAGTCTTCTGCAAAGTATTGAACTTTGGGGTTCAATTCCACTTGGTCTTCACAAATTCAGTGGTGTTTCCACTAACACAACCTGATGCTTCAGTTCCAGTCTCCAGCACGAAGACAGTGTGGTGAAAACCTCAGACGTCCCCAGAACTCAGAACTCTTCGGGTCCGAGCATGTAAACTTGGTTCCACTGCTTAAATCTACCCAAAGCTGAGGTTTCCCAAGAGTGGTCTTTTCAACCCCTACCCCGAAGGAAAATACCCCTTCCTTCTCCTTTTGTTTGCACCTACCCTGTTAGCACTAGGCAGGTGGTGCCCATGGAGATGCATTGCCTGGGAGGGGGACAACACTGCTCAGACTTGCATTTCCTCCTGCCAGCCCGTGCTCCCCAGAGACCCTCCCTTCTCCCCATTCCCATCCTGCCCATCCCAGTTTCTAACTCTCCCCCAGTTCCTGTCTCTGGGTTGAGCACCCTCAACCCAAACATGCCTCTGACATGGCAAGTGGAGGAAGCCAATTTTGCTGTAACATGAATCTATTCCAGTGTGTAATGTATCTGTGTAGAGAGAGGAGAAATATTTACCAGTTTCAATAGGGACTTAATGAGTCAGGATTCAGAGAGGTGGAATAGCAAACATCTCTGTTCTCTGGATGCTGCAAGGCAAAGCCAGAGCTCTGCAGAGAAACTTTCATTTCATTAAACGATTGTAATACTCAGCATTAATAGAATCCTGCTGGCAGCATTTCCAGTAGCTACTCTAACAGGAGTATCCTGAAGCCCCACAGTGAGTTCAATAGTTAAAATGACTATTGGACAGGCTACAACGCTGTGGCTTGGCAGTTAGGAAACATTTTTGCATATTCAGGTTCTGGTGGAGTATTAACGGGTCCCAGCATACAAGAGGCAGATGCTTCCTTTTCTGGGGGTGAAGTAGAAAGCTAAATATTATCCAAACTACTGCAGCAAGTTGGTGGTGAAGCATGCTGGAAAACAATCTTAGAATGGCTTGGGTTGGAAAGGACCTCAAAGCTGAACCAGTTCCGACCCCTGCCATGGGCAGGGACACCTTCCACTGGAGCAGGTTGCTCCAAGCCCCTTGGGGCTCTGAATGCCAAGCTCTTCCCATTGAAGTGATTTAAGCATTACTACAACAGCAGCACGACTGATTGCAGAGAGACCACGTAGAAGCAGGTCAAACAGTGTATGGGAAGGTTTCCTCCTTGGTCTGGGGCAGCATGGTCTTGGCTGTGGTTGCAGGAAAGTTGGGCACAGCACAGCAGACTCTGTTCTTGAGAACCTCCAGCTCAGTTTGAATCCTTCATATCGTGGTGCTCCAGCATGGCTGCAGCCAGAGGAGATTATCAGCCTTCCCATGGCACAGGCAGCAGTTGAGGAGAACTGGGAAGCAGAAAGGGCAGACCCTGCTACAGATGAGCATGTCCAAGAGGCAGGAAAGAGCATCTTCAGCTGCAGTGAACAAGCAGAATGGATGTACAGAAAGAGGCTCTGGCTTTGGACTGGGCCAAGTTTCAGTTGGTGTTTTTGATTGTGTTCCCAATGCTGAAACCCAAGTTGGCAGGTAAAAAATGCCCACCCCTTTCATTGGAACCCACGTCTCTCAAAGCAGTGCTTGGGTGGGGTGGCACACACGTGGGGTGGTACTAGCCTGCGATGTGGCTGCAGTGAGGTTCCTCTTTGGCGCTGTGTCTACTCGTCACCCTCCAGGCACAGCTTGTTCCTAGCAGAGTCTCTGTGCTCAGGTGCAGCTCTGCCAACTGGGACACACAATCTTTCCTGGGATGTGCCATGGCTCATCAGGTTCCTTTTCTAGGATCTTGCAGCACCAAGGAGAAATGAATCCAGTGACCATCAGGGCCCATAACTGGGCAGTGGTTTCTTTTGTGGCTTGGAAGTGCATTGCCTTTCTGGGTCTCTGTCCTCAAACATTTGCAGTGTGAGTGATACTTACCCTGCTCCTTCTGTCACCCAGGGAAGGAGTCCAGTTCCCCCAGTGATCAACTGCCACCCTCCAATCTGACACCTTACAAGCAGGAGCCACTTTATCCTCTTCCTTACTGAATCTGACCCCTGGTACTTTGCACGCCTCCTGTGTCTTTCCTCCAGTGCCTGTCATTTGGGAGGTTCTTAAAATGCCACATCATTCAAGTGGCAATGTGATATGAAGGTTAATGGAGGACATTCACACGGGGGATCTTCAAAGGGAAAATGCTCAGGCACGTTTCTGCCTTGTGAACAGTCAGAAATGAGTGACCTTGTTTGAAGGCAGCAGTTTCCCTCCCAGTTCCTAGGGACAGCATTTAAGCACTTAAAACCCAAGTGCATCTCAGCCTTACTAGAAGTGTTTCAGTGGCTCTGCTGTGGGGTAGTTGCGGTAGAGTGATGACATATGTTGCCTGTACCTGGAAAGCAAGACCTGCAAGTGCTGAGTGCCATGTGTTGGAGGGGGTTTAGTGGGCACCTCACCCCATTGCAGTCTGGTGCTGGGGAATTGTCCCCTCCTCAGGGAACACCAGCTTGAAAGTGCTTCCAGTCACTGCTGAGACACAAACGTGCTGGGTCTGGTGCTAAGGAAAGAGTTGACTCGCCACATAGGAAACTATGGGCTAAAAAGTGAACAAAACAACTAGGTTCTGCTTTTGGCTGTGGAGATAGCAGGAATTCAGTGCTCCCTTTTAGTCACAGTGCTGAGAAAAAGGCACTGCAGCACATCTCTTATCAGAGAGCTACTGCCAAAGGGAGGAAAGCTGACAGCAAATATTTACTCTCAGATCAATTCTGTTTAAAGTGCAATGTTTGTAGCAGAGCTGGGACGCAGGTCAGGTGTAAGGATCAAGGCTGCATTTATATAAAGACAGAGGAATATGCACTGGAAATCCCTTGCTTAGAAAGGGAAAAGACCAGAGGATTCGGAAAGGCGCGCTATGAGGAGCTTCATCTTTGTCCTCACGCTGGGCATTTTCTCATGTTCAGGTAAGCTGCTCAGATTGGAGTCCTGGCTTCCTTCTTACAGTGGTTTAGGAAGCCCACAGTGAACCTCTAATGGAACTGTGCCTCCATCTCAGGGTTTCCAGTGTACGACTATGATCTCCCTGTCACAGAAGAGGCTCTCAACGCTTCCATTGCAAGGATCAATTCTCAGTCATGGGGGACAAACCTGTATGGTGTTGTCAGGAGCCACGTCACCAGAGTAAGTGCAGAAACAACCAACGTTCCTTTACCTGAAATATGCTTTGCTCTGGTGGAAAACTCCTTTTTGCCCAATCCTGAACCCCCAAACTTAGTTGGAGTTTTCTGATGCTGCTTGGAAAGAGGGTGGGTTTGGGGTATTATCTGAAATGATGGCTTTAGGAATCAAAATGCTCCTTGTATGTTGGTTTGTAGTTAAAAATACCAAGCTCCGATTTCCCACCCCTGGAATAGAAATCTTTGGGGGTTGTCTTGTAAGATTTTCTTCCAAACTGGTGATTTTAGACACCTCAAGCTAATTGCTTTGCCTGGGCAAACCAGGTTACTGCATAGTAGTAATTTGTACTACGCAGTAACTACATAGTACCCTGGTTCATCTGAAGGTCTAAGCTGAATGTTCACACTGCAAATAAGATGCCACCACAAACACATTCATGATTCTTTCTCCAATCTTTATTTATGTCGTCTGTCTCTATGCGTCAATTCTGGTTTCAATCTCCTAGTGTCTAAATACAGCCAGGAAACTCTTCATCTGTTTTAATTTGCATTGCTAAGAATGATGTTGGATACCCGGAGTTAAGGAGTAACATACTGTAACCATTCTGTTTCTATAGATGGCATTTATCAAGTCTTCTGCAAGAATGAATGACAAGATGACTCTGGGATTGATCTAGTTTGGGAAAGAAAAGTACATGAAAGCAGTGGGGATTTGTTGTTTATTGGGGTTTGGGTTTTGGTTTCGGTGGGGAGTGGGGTGAGTCTCGCATCTTGAGCTAAAACTTTGCTTAGACTGCCCATGAGGCACCTGAGCAAACAACAGAAGACTCTATTAACTGCATTAATTCAATTGCCTCCAGTCATGGGATTTACTTTCCAAGCTTATTTACTTTCACAATAGGCTTCCCAGCAGTCTAGATATTTAAAGCAGAGCTGTTGGCACCCTGGTTCCCACAGAAGATGGGGTAGCACACAGGGGTAATGCTATGCTTATCTACCTTTGGCAGCTGTAAGTCCCCCCAGCTGACTGTGAGCAGTAGGAGGATCCTGCAGTGGCTGTGGGGATTCAAGTGAGACCCCCATGGGAAGCTGTTCTGTGTTGCTGACTAAGAGAGAAATTCCTGAGCACAATAAACCAGACTTTCTCACACACAGTAATCTGCTCTGAATTGGGCACTGAGCCATCGTGCCCTGATGTCGACTTCTGCTTGACAAAGAAGCAAGGTTGCCATGTAGCAGGCATAGAGGAATGACAGGCACTAATTACGTATTGTCTTGACCTTGCTTTGACCAGGTTGACATGTGGAACAGTGATGCCTACAGACTAGAGCTGCAGTTCAGCATCCGTGAGACTGTGTGCACGAAAGCATCAGGGAGAGACCCCTTCACATGTGACTTCAAAATTGGGCCTTTTGTGGTAAGTGAATGTGAAACCCCAAATTGATGCAGGATAAAGGACTTGGGGGTGTTGGGTGATGAGAAACTGCCAGTGACCTGGCAGGACATGGCTGGTTTCTGGGCTGCACCCCCAGAGCGTGAGCAGCAGCTCAGGGAGGGGATCCTGCTCCTCTGCTGTGCTCTGGGGAGACCTTAGAGCAGCTCCACTGCCTAAAGGGGCTCCAGGAAACCTGGAGAGGGGCTTTGGACGAGGGATGTAGGGACAGGACAAGGGGAATAGCTTGAACCTGCCAGAGGGAAGTAGTTTACTCCATGAAGAGGGGGGCAAACGTCTCTTTGAGTATCGCTACTCTTGAGCTAAACAGCTTGTATGTGTGTGTAAGGTGGGATAACATGAAACTGATGGTCACTGCCAGGTTTCCTTTAAAGACACAAGGGTTGGCTGCTGTGAAGTTATCACTGTATCCTGAGCAGCCACCAGCCCTCTTCTTTTCTTTTTGGGGAAATACAGTATGAAAGATAGTGTGAGGACCTCTTTCTTTTCCAAACTTGGGTGCAAGTTTTGCTGGAGCTTCTGTCAAATCATAGAGGCAGCTTCTTTGAAGGTAGTTTAACCTCTAGAGCTGGAGCTGCTATCAGCATAGCCCTGACAGCCCTTGTGCTTGGTGATGCCAGAGCCATGAAAAGGAGTTAGAGAATTTCTTACACCTCAAGCAGGCTGAAGGCTTCATACAACTAACATGTAATTGTGGAGCAATAACTTGGGTGTAGTCATGTGCCGCCAGAATATATTTACCTGGCTGCAGTCTGCTCCAGTAAAGTGAGAGGTGTATGATCTTCCTCTTGGAATTTAATCCCTGTACAAGTTCCCACCCCCAAGGAAGGCCCTGTGAGAGGGTTTGTCCTGTGGATTTGCTCTGTTTTGATCTGTTACAGCCAACCACTTTCTGCAGAAGTGTTGTGGAAGTCTCCGGTGAGCTCATCTCCAACGTTGTGGTGCAGTGCCATCGAGGCACATCCAGCTCTGAATCACTGAGCAGTGAGGAGGTAAGGGAGGAGAAAACTCAGGTTTGCTGCTTGGGGGAGCAGAAATTCTGCTCATCCTCTCCAGAGGAGGTCAGGGGTAGCTGTATGAACGACAGCTCCTGCTGCAGCTGGAGGTTTTGATCAGAAGACTCAATGTGGTTTGCAACTCAGCTGTCTCCTGTAATGCTTCACTTGCCATCAGCTGAGAGGTTTGACTTTGCCTGATGGATGCCTGGGGAGAGTGTGAATCTCTGCAGCAGTCTGGCACATCCACCAGCTCCAACACTCCTTCACTGACACAATGCCTGGAGAAAAGGGATTGACACATCTTAGATGGAAACAAATACTGCTGACTCTGGCTCTGTTACCAAAGCCAGCCCCCAGCTGAGCATGTAATCATGGTACAGCTGAAGCACATTTGCTCCATTGAGATTTGTGTGCCCCTTTTGAGCTCTTGTTTGGGTTTTAAGGTGTGATTAAATGCCAACCCAACCTGTGAACTCCTCCAAGCTGTGTTCACATCATGCTCGTGTCTGCTTTCTCCATGAACTGATACCTGAACCTGGGCGCCTGCACTTACAGCACAGCTCTGCAGTGGGTGTTGTCCTTGAGGATCATATGCAGGGAGCCAGGATGCTTTCACAAGCAAGGTGCCAGAGGATATGGAGAGCCTTTTTTGGGGGGAAGTGCGAGTGACTGGATGAATAACTTGCAGCAAATGGGATTCTTTGTCACCTTCCCTTGCTTTGAATTGCCAAACTGGCTTCTCATGTAGTTTTATTTTTACATCTTTGTTGTTCAGGCTCTCTATTCACAAGCAGCTAGTGAATGCACCACAGGAAGCCTTGCTCTGCAGAGCAGAAAGGCTGCATGTGAAGCACTGAAATATGTACCACAGTCTTGGATGCTCAGCCTGTCCTCTGTGGGTTAAGCATAACTCTTGTTTAATAGGGCACTCGGTATAAACACTTGCTTTTACAAGCAGACATCTTCCTGCAAGTCGTCTTTAGCTGTCACTTAAGATTCAGTCCTGCTGCCAATATTCCTGCAGGGGAATATATTTCCTGCAATGTTAATAAGGAATAACTGCCAAAGGGAATTATTGCATGTGAAAAGGAAAATATTTCTTTCTGCAAAGGCCTGCAGCAAATGCACTGTAGCTCTTGCTCTAGAGCTGTAACTCAACCTGGCTGAGATGATGTGGTTGTAGCTCCTGTAGGCTGGTGGCATTCGAGTAGGAGAAGGAATTGTGACTGGCTGAGGCTGGGCTCATTTTACTTGGATAGAGACCAACAAAAGGAGAGTATAGAGAGCTTTTAAAAGAGTAATTTGGGCTAAATGAGTCACAAAGGTGCCCTGTGTGACTGCAGCAGACTAACTGCTCTGCAGGTTCTGCTGTCCTGGCTGGAGAAGGTCAGGTAAGGGATTTGGACTGCCTGCAGACTTCCTTGGCACCATCAGTGCTTTGCAATAGTATCAGCAGTAATCTTGTTTTCAGAGAAGTGAATAATGACGTTTGGGCTGACTTCAGTGATCACACAGTACCTGGGGAAATGGAGGAGAGGGAGACTTCTGATCAGGTTTTTAAAGAAACATCTTTCATTTACAGTTTATGTACCTGCCCATAATGAACCCCAACAGGCGAGGGAGCAGTCACAGAGAAGGTAAGCCAGTTCTGCCTCTTGGATCATCTGCTTGGAACACCTGAAGGTCATCCATCTGAGGGACAGCAAGAGATGGAAGGCCAGCAGTTTGCTCACAGCCAGCTGCTTTTCCCATTGCAGAGGGGTGTCTCACTGAGGAAGGGGTGAGGGCAGTGGGTGTGAAGTAGGGCAATGCTGAGGCTCTGTATGTCTGTATATGTGTTTTCTGGATTGCCAGGTTTGTGCTCTTGTAACTGGGCTGCATCCCCAGCAGTGTGAGCAGCAGGATGAGGTAGGGATTCCGGCCCCTCTGCTCTGCTCTGGTGAGACCCCACTCGCAGCACTGGGTGCAGGGCTGGTGTCCTCAGCTTAAGAAGGGCATGGAGCTGTTGGAGCAAGTCCAGAGGAGGCCACGAGGGTGATCAGGGGCTGGAGCAGCTCCTGTATGGAGACAGGCTGAGAACATTGGGGTGTTCAGGCTGGAGAAGAGAAGCTGCTGGAGACCTCAGAGCAGCTTCAGTGTGTGAAAGGAGCTACAAGGATGCTGCAGAGGGACCTTCATCAGGGACTGGAGTGATAGGACAAGGGGTGATGGGTTTAAATTGAACCAGGGGAAGTTCAGGTTGGATCTAAGGCAGAAGCTGTTCCCTGTGAGGGTGCTGAGGTGCTGGCACAGGGTGCCCAGAGAAGCTGTGGCTGCCCCATCCCTGGTAGTGTTCAAGGCCAGGTTGGACACAGGGACTTGGAGCAACCTGCTCCAGTGGAAGGTGTCCCTGCTCGTGGCAGGGGTTGAAGCTGGGTGAGCTTTAAGGTCCCTTCCAGCCCAAACCAGGCTGGGATTCTATAATGAGTACTTCTGTGCATCCTCGAGGTTGTTTTGATGTGGAGTGCTGAATGAGTGCATGCTTGAAAGTACACAATGCTCACATATGTCTCCATGTTCTTTTTTTCAAAGACATATTTGCTCCTGAAGCCTTCCCTTCAATGGGAAGAGGCAGCAGCCACGGACACTGGCATAAACCCAGCTACTTCAGCTCTGACAAGATGGAATAATACCCTTTGGGTGAGTGAAATTCGAAGTGTAGCTTTTATGCAGCTTTTGCAGCAGGCTGGGCAATGACTGCTCGGGATAAAGGACCTCTTGGAGAATGTGATTCTTGGCTGTGAACATGTTCAGTGCTATTTAACCCTAAGCATTTGTAGGATGTGCTTCTGGGGAAACTCAGTGCCACAAACAGCACTACCACCACCATGGATGGGAATGCCTGTGGACTGCCCTGGCCATGTGTTGGCAAAGAGTTGTTGGATGGCCCCATTCATTCAGCAAGTCACCCACCACCTTGTGCTGGTGCTCTGGCATCTTGTATCTATTTGTACTGCAAACTCTTGGGTGAATGGCCATGTCTTTGTGCTGAATCTAATGCAATAGGGTCCCAAGGCCACACAGTTCAGCAAACAAATATGGAAGGTGTAATATGGTATCTGGGAGAACCAAGATGAGGTTTACTCAGGGCAAGTGTTTGTTGCAGAGAAGCTGTGAAGGAGATGTTTGAGTTGATGAGAATGATGATAAAAGGCATTCATGCTTCAGTGGAGCTGGCAAGGTCTATCCTACACAAACCACCTTTGCTGTGCTACTTCTGAGGCTTTAGGTGGGAGCAGCTCTAATTGCTGCTGATATTCCACCTGCTGTCTGATGGAGTTAATCTAAAGGGAAGTGCCTTTGAAAGAGATTGAGGAACACAGAATGGAGGATGTTCTTTGGCATGCAAACCAGTTCTAAAGTAGCTGGGAAAAGAAGAGGAAATCACTTAGCACTATGCCTTTGTGATTAGAAGGGTTTGCACACACGCTTGGGTACATCTCATTAGCAGGTCTGTGTCCTTGTGGAGAGTGCCAGAACTGAATGCTCCATGTGTGTGGAGCTCAATTCAGGCCTGCTGCATTGGGAACACAGCAGCTTTAGATGACTCACCAAAAACTAACACGCGTTACTCATAAGCACATCCGTGGTAAATCTGTATGTGCTGAAGGAGATGTAACCCCTACTCTCCTTGAATTTAGATATGAAAGGAAAACCCAGTCATTCTGCTAAGGCAGGTCTTTGTTTGTCAAAAGGATTTCATTAAATCCATATGGTATTTTAGTTTATCTGTGAGCCAGTAAAGGTGATAGGCTGCTTTAATCACTGCCTTTCCTCCCATAGAAACCTCCTACTTCCCTAAGTGTATTTGAACTTCCTTGAGCATATTGCAGTGGCATTCTGGTGTGCACTCTGTGTCTTTCTGGGTACCTTTCATCTAAGGAGAGATGGTGTGGAAAGACTGAGGCTTACTGAGGAGTAGCCTCTCTCAGCCTGGCTCAGTGAATTTGGGTTGAATTTTCTTCAACTGGTCTTCCAGAAGAGTTGTGGGCAAGGAGATCCATGTGCTCCGAATGGGGAGACATCCTTTTCCTTGCCCTTGGAAAACGCCAGGTATCTTAACTGGATTCTGTGGCTCTCGAGAGGAGCTGTTCCCCTTAAGCAGCAATCACAAATGTTTTGTGTTCCTGTATCTAATGTCTAACAAATTTCTACACTGTCAAATCTTCTGGAAGGAGAATGTGAAGCAAATGGGGAGGGATTTATGGTCTTGAAATCCTGTGCTAGAGTTGGACTTGGTGATCCTTATGTGCCCCTTCCAACTCAAGATATTGTATGATTTTAATAGTTTCTGCTTGCTCTTAAAAATAGGTTGTAAGTGTCATTGATGGAGCTGTGTTTCATAGCGGTGTCCTAGGTTTTGGCCATCTCAGAGGCAGATACATCAGGAGATTAAGGCTGAATTTCAAACCCCTTCAAAACTTCCTTTTTCTCTTGGTTTTATCGATTTGACTTCTCATTAGCTGTGAAGTCTGGAGAGAAGTCTCATTTCTCAGTTTCACTTGTGTTCAGAATTAGAGGGTTTCATCCATGGCTTTAATTTGGAGCCACACATATCCAAATGATTTCATGTTATTCCTGGCTTCTCCCCCTCTTTGGCACCTGTGGGATCATGGTTAGCATCATTATGAGCTGTACTGCGATGGCTCTGTTTGGTGGGACATGGGAAATACATGCTGTGTTTTGAGATGGCAGGAGCTCAGCTGCCTTAGCTTATCTGAGAGCATTTTGGCAGAGGCTGAGGAAGCAGCAGTTTAATAACAGGCGACTTTCATCTGTTATTCAAAGAACCTGTTGTTGGCAGGCAAAGCTAGACAAGTTCAGGTAAGTAATGAAATGTGAGGCTTTTATGCAATAGTGTGGTAAGTGACTGCTGCAAAAAGTACTAAGGCAAGTGACTGACAGGGGTTTTCATTCTGGATTTTACATTTTCTAAACTAGATCTTCTTATCTTTATGGCTATAGGGGTTATTTCATGGGAATCCTGTGCCTGAATCTATGCAAAAAGCTGGGCTAAAGTAGCTCACCAGTGCTTTGTGGCTCTTTATTTCTTAGAATATTAATATTCAAGAGGAAAAAAATCAGTGTAATTGTTACATAAAGAAGAACTTTTCCAAGTCTGCAGCCTTCAGACCCTGCTGGTACCTGCAGGAGTTGGCAAACTGCGTAGGAAAGAACCACATCAGTGATTAATGAGCTTACTTCAGTGACAAATCCTAATCAGATTTGCTGGATTTGCTTCCTAGTGCATGCCTGGAACTGTAAAATTCACATGTCGTGCTGTGGGCCAACAAGTAGCTCAGGTACCACTCAGGCACATCAACTGCTCCAGTGATAGTAGGAGAGCCAGCTGCTGCACAACATCTGGTCACCCTAACAGCCTAGCCTTCAGCAAGTGTTAAGGTCATTAGTTAGCTTGGCCTGCCAGGTATGTGTAGAGTTAGTTGGAGCTGTGTCAGTCACCAGTGTCAGCAAAGTATAAAGAGTGATAGATTCCGTTGGATTGGAATCTGCTTGATGGTGTTTGTGGCTCTGAATTGCTGAAGAAGTGGCTCAAACTCACCTAACACCTTGAACCCCAGAAAGCAAAGGAAAAGGGCCCCAATGCTCTGCTCTTCCAAAACCAACTGCCTAAGGCAGTTTATGCTCTTCAGGGTGGAGCCCAGCCTATGACTGCTGTAGGGAGTCTCACCAGCAGTGCTTCATGTCCTTGAACAGGAAAACTGAGAAGAAAGCTCCTGCCTTTGCTTGCAGCATACATGGAGATAGTGAATGTTGATTTTCTCTTACCGTTGTTAATCACACAAGGAAGGTGTCTTTAACAGACCACCAAATTCCACCCGCATCAAGCCAAGGGGCTGTGACAATGACTCTTTGGCTGAGTTCTCACCAAGCAGAGCCCAAAGCTGGTGGGAATGTGGCGAGGGCAGTTGTTAGAAGTTGATTAGCAGCTTTGCAGAAGCAGAAGTGAATAGCTTGACGTCCTTGAATAGTAGTGGGCTTGTTTTCAGTGGAAGAATAACATTAGGCCTCTTGTCATACCCAAGAAATCCAGGATCCAACCTTCAGAGTGAAATGGGTGCTTGTTGGTCTGTCTTCTACAAAAATAATAATGGAGCAGGGTGTATAACCCTCCTGGAGCATGGAAAGCAGAGCTTTTATCCCCAGTGTCCTCATTAAGAAGCTGCTTGATTTTAGTTCCAGTTTTGTATTCTCATGAATTGTCTTTGTCTTTTCCTCTCCATTCACCCACTCCACATTCTGCAGTTCTCAGAAAGAAGCTTATTGCTTTCTGGGGGGAAAAAAATGAAGCATCAGAGGGAAGGAAAATCCCTGCAGAATGGGATCTGTTGCTCAGTGCATGAGCTCCGTATCCAATTGGCTTTGAGAATGAAAGCTGGAGCAATTTATCACTTAGGCAACGTGGAGGAAATGACAACCTGCCTTGGAGCCTGTCTGTGATAGCTGAGTCCTGGGTGTCATCTGACATCTGAAGCAGAGAAGACAGCCTTCTTTCATCTGTTCAGAGGTGAAGGACTGAAGCTGAAACAGACCCAGGCAGGACTTTTCCTGATGCTCAGGTCAGATCATGGTGCAGGGATGAAGCAGGAGGTGTTACAGCAGAGAGGAGAGCTGCTGTGATAATCTCTTGTTGCTATTCTGAATGGCACTGATTTTTGCCTTGCCCTTTGTCCACCTCTTCTGGATCTGTTTTGAAGGATTAGACCAACTGAGGAGATTGTTCCTGCTTCTAAAGGATGAAGAGCTTGCATGATTTCTTGGACTTCCCTGTCTAATTGTGAGCCCTTTAATCTAATTCCTGGAGAAAAGTAGCAGGACTTCACTGGAGGAACAGAAAGGGCTCTCAGCTGTCTTCCAGCTTACTGCTCAATGCTGTATTTTGCAAGCAATAGAAATGAGCTTGTCAAAAAATCACTGAGGTTGGGAAGGACCTCTGGAAGCCCACCCCTGGTTCAAACAGGGCCAGGTTCATGAGGTTTGAATATCACAGACTGGTTTGTGTTGGAAGGGACCTTAAAGCTCACCCAGCTCCAACCTCTGCCACAGGCAGGGACACCTTCCACTAGAGCAGGTTGCTCCAAGCCCCTGTGTCCAACCTGGCCTTGAACACTGCCAGGGATGGGGCAGCCACAGCTTCTCTGGGTACCCTGTGTCAGCGCCTCAGCACCCTCACAGGGAAGAGCTTCTGCCTCAGAGCTCATCTCAGTCTCCCCTCTGGCAGGTTCAAGCCATTCCCCTTGTCCTGTCCCTCCAGGCCCTCGTCCAAAGCCCCTCTCCAGGTTTCCTGGAGCCCCTTTAGGGACTGGAGCTGCTCTAAGGTGTCCCCTTCAGGAGCCTTCTCTACTCCAGGCTGCCCCAGCCCAGCTCTCTCAGCAAAAGATTTGTTCTTAAACTAAGCTGGATTTTCCCCTGTTCCCACTTGTTCCTGTTTTTCTCATCTCTTTGTTCCCAGCACTGATTCTAGCAGCTGATCCTGATTCTTTGGCCTGCATCCCCCACCTCCAGGGCTGAGCAGGACCCAGGTGCTCCTGGACCAGCTGCTCTCAGAGGGTTGCTGTGTCCATCATGTGTGGATGCTCCTTTCTGGCACAAATCTATCCCTAAAATG